ATTCATATATGCATCACTTCACAGATCGCATAGTTACTATTATCTTTTTTTTTGTGGTGAGAACGCTTAACGTCTCTCCTCTTGGCAAATGTCAAGTATACGATACAGTAGTTAGGTATAGTCACTATGCTGTACATTAGCTCTGTAGAACTGACTCATCTTGTATGGCTTAAAGTTTATACCCTTTGACCAGCATCTCCCAGTTTCCTCCTCCCTCTCAGCTCTTGGCAGCCACCACTCTACTCTCTGCTTCTGAGTTTGACTGTTTAGATTACACATATAACTGAGATCATGCAGTTTTTGTTCTTCTGTGTCTGACTTATTTCACTCATCATAATGAACCAGGTTCATTCATGTTATCTCAAATGGCAGGATAACCTTTTTTAAAACTGAATAATGTTGCATTGTATGTATATACTACATTTCTTTATCCACTCATCCATCAATGGACTTTCAGATTATTTCCATGTCTTGGCTATTGTGACTCAGGCTGCGGTGAACTTGGCATTGCAGATATCTCTTCAAGATTAAGATTTCATTTCCTTTGGAGATATACCCAGAAGTGGGATTTGCTGGATCATGAGGTAGTTCTATTTTTAACCTTTTAAGAAACCTCCATACTGTTTTCTATAATGCCTGTACCAATTTAGATTCCCACTAAGAGTGTACAATGGTTATTGGGGAATGGGAAAAGATGGGTTAATGGGGAAAGATGAAGAGACCATCTTTCCCCCATTCTGTGTTCTTGGAACCCTTTCTGAAAATCAGCTGACTGTAAATTCATGGATTTATTTCTGACTCTCTATTCTGCTCCATTGATCTAAACATTGGTTTTTATGCAATTACCATATTCCTTTGATTACTGTAGCTTTGTAATATATTTTAAAATCAGAAAGTGTGATGCCTCCAGCTTTGTTCTTCCTCAAGACTGTGTGGCTATTTGAGATCTTTTGTGGTTCCATATGGACTTTAGCATTGTTTTTTCTATTTCTGTAAAGAATGCCATTGGCATTTTGACAGAGACTGCATTAAATCTGTAGATCACTTTCGGTAGTATGGACATTTTAAGAATACTAATTCTTCCAATCCACGAACATAGAACGTCTTTCCATTTATCTGCATCTTCTCCAATTTCCTTCAACAGTGTGTTATAATTTTTAGTGTGCCAGTCTTTTGCTTCTTTGGTTAAGTTTATTCCTAAGTATTTTATTTTATTTTGTTGTTGCTATCATGAATAGGATTGTTTTCTTAATTTCCTTTTCAGATAGTTCATTCTTAGTGTATAGAAACACCACTGTTTTTTGTATGTTGATTTTGTATCACACCACTTTAATGAATCTATTAGTTCTAACTTCGGACTGATATTTTGGAGTAGCTTATTACGGCAATTTTTTTTTAGTTTCAAATGGTTTCTTGGAGATATGAAGGTTTTCATGTATATATACATTTGTATTATTATATTACAGATATATATCTCATATATATATGCCATTTTGCACTCATAATATCTAATATAAAGCAAAAGGAGTCCAAAAAGTAATTTTCCAAAGTTCTAAATTTTAACAATTTTACAGACTTCAAAACCTAAATCAGACCAAATACACTTTCCAAAAAATTTGAAATCTCTTTACAGCTGAAAATTCCAACTCCATTGCTGAGATCCTTGAGACCCCAGAACTCATTTCAACCCATTTCACTTTTTTTTTTCTTTTCAATTAATACCATCCAATCACAGGCACCCTTCGTGAGGAACCAGGCAGAGTAGGAGAAGCATGAGGCAGGACCAGTGTGCTCATGGAGCCTGCACAGCACGGTTCTCTCCACAACGAAGCATCTTCCCTCTCAGTTAAAAACTTCAATCATAAGATTTTTTAATCAACTATAAATAGAAAGCTTTCCTCTTTTAAATTTAAGAAGTAAATTTTTTGAGTCTAATGAAGAACCAGACTATGAAAACGTTTCAGGGACTTACTCTTTAGATATTTTGGAGGTGGATATTTAGGATCAACTAACTTAAGGACTACACAAGTTGATAAAGCACAAAAGAGCATTTAAGATTAGTTTGATTTGCAGCCAATGTAGGAAGTCTCATATCACATTTATTATCCTATTAAATATATATCCTAACATGTTTCTACATTTTTTTCTATTTAGATGTTTCAGATAAACTATAATTTATAATTAAGTCAACATATATTTAAAAGATTTTTAAACTTTATTATCAAGTCAATAATCTTTTTCTGGAAGAAATATTGCTACATGGTATTATAAGAATTCATTATACATAATTACAAATAACGTGTTAGAAGTAAGACTTGGCTGTATTTTCTTCATTTTAAGAAATAATTCAGAATCATAGCAGAAGCAATTCATCTTTTTAATTACATTTTTTCTTCGTTTAGATTTTTTTTCCTGACCTGCTTAACTTTTGCTTTCTCCTCAACTTCACCAACAGTATAATTAGTGGGAAGGTATGTTTTAATGAAATGTGGAGAATACACAGTAGGTATATGGCAACTAATTGAAATCTTATAGCAAAATTATAGTAAGAGAAAACAAGTCTGCCAGGGGCTGGGTGCAGGGGCTGAGGATTAACCACAGAGCAGCACAGGACATTCAGGGCTGATGGAACCTTGGGGTGATGACCACACAACTGGATGAATTGGTCAACGCTTCTTACAGACAGACAGGGGTGAATTTTAACATATGTAAATTATACCTTGAAAATAAATGACAAAAATTAAAAATATAGCATTTAAGAAGAAGATCTCACATACAAGCAGTCTATCTGAGGGAAAGAAAGGGAACTTTCCATAGCAAAAATCTAAACAAAACATGACTTTCTTTCACATGTTGGCCTATTTTCCTCACTTACTGAGTAATATCTGGCTAGTTTATTAAAAACTTGAATCTATAACGATAGCTTTGTTCGATAAAGCATTGTTCTTATACATGTTTGGGACCTGGAGGCAATAACAAGGTTAAAGAAATCAATTAATAAGGGGAAAATGTATGTAACTGTCAATAACGTAAAAATAGTTACTCCTGATAACTTAGAGAAATCGCCGCCTGATGGTTACTAAAAGGCTTTATTCTAAACAACTCTCATCTTCTACCATAGTGAATATTCATTAAGACATCAAAAAGTATACAGCCAGTGGAAATCTCCGGTAGAGAGAGTTAAGCTGGAAATTATTTAAAAATAGAAAATCCAAGCCATTGTTTGAGGACATTTTGTAAAATGCTTGCTGAGGAAGAAGAGTCGCTAACTGTGACCTAAAGGATTCAAGCTTTTAGAAGCGTTCAAATTCTAACTAACGTTGTCCATCTTCAGGGCACACTTGCAGCTTCTGTAACTTTTGCACGTAGTACTCTAGACGCACTGAGCTTTGCTCAGTTTTCATCTGAACACGACCTTTATGTCACTGATAGGCACACCTTTCCCAACTTCTTCCCCTATGGGACCTCCATTCAACTCAGGACCCACTCAAATATCACCTCTTCTGGAATACTTTCTGATTTGCCATAAAATTCATGGTACTTATTATAATTGTATTGAAATAATCTGTTGGCACACACTCCTTCAACTATATATTTATATATGCAATCTTTTTCAGTAGAGAGAAGCTGTTCAAAAATCTTTCCTTGAATTGAAATATTTGTCAATTTTTTCCTGTATCTAGTTTTATCTTTCTGTGACACTCGTTTTAAATATTTCTACTGAAGGTACAGTCAGAGAACTTAACTCCAAAGGAGTTATAATCAATATAGTAATTACTAAACACAAACAATATCCTGGGTAGAAGCCAGGGAGAATCTGATTTATGTAATTAATTCATCTTGAAATTGTCATGTATTTGTTCTTTTAACAAATGATCATTGAACACCTGCTAAGTATGAGATGCTGTGATAGACACAAAGATAGTGAGATATAGGGAGAAATTACAAACAGATTCAGCTCTTAACTATCTTATAATCTACTGGAGGATATGAGAATATCACAAATAGCTTACCACATGGAAGAAGATAAATTGCTGTGGGAAATCAAAAAGAGGTAATATTTGGTGGAGAAGCAATTGTGCTAAACTTTATAAGAAACATGAACCTCAAAGGGTTGATAACATTAAAGAGTCCTTGTGATGACTAATCGAATTTTTGTGTGTGAAAGCAATATGTAAACAATAAAAATCTGTAAAAAAAATTCAGTATTATAATTTGGATATGCAGAAGTGGAGCAAAAGAGGATCTTTGGTAGAAAATACAGCAAGAACAGAGGTTCTGTAGTTTGGTCTTTGTTATATAATCAGTGAAAGGCTGTTGTAGAAAAGGACATAAAGTAAAATGAGAAAAAAGACTTGGATGTTTCTTCACTACATGCAGGGAATAGAGAATGCTGGATGGATGGGAGGAAAAGTGCGAAGGTGGCTGCCCATTCTTTTGTTAGCCAAGAACAATATTTTCCCAGGCACAAAATAGGAGACAAAAATCAATCCTTAATTTAAATGTGAAGTATTATCAAGAGGATGGTGATCAGATTATCTTCTTCATCATAAATGATTGGGATATAGAATAGTGATCCATGAAAAAAATCTTGATTAAACCATTCAAATACCAAGTTTCTAAGTAACTATAGTCTTTATGAGTGAAATGTAGAAAGCAAAGAAAGAAAATTAAAGAAACAAGTAATAGCAATAAAAATGTATGCAATGCCACAAAAGAAAAAATAATCCCACAGTTACATGAAAGACAAATGTTAAGCACGTTGGGGAAAATGGCTCCATATTTAGCAAAACTTATAAAAAACAATTATCAATATTAAATAATTTGTCTTTATACCCATGTCCTTTGAAATTTAAAATTCACATTAACGCCAGTTTTCTAAGCCATTCCATTTTAAACCAAATATAAACAATTGCTACATAATCTTTGTATGTTTATGCATTTTCTGTTTTTCTTAATTATGAAATACAGTGCCATTTTTAAAGTGAAAATATACTTACTCAAATGAGGATTAACAGGAGCTAAAAAAAAGCAAAAAAAATAATGTTAGCATGGTTTGAATGTCTTTCATAAGTAAAAGTCCAATTAGTGTACCATAGTTCTTTACCAAAACTTAACGATCTTCTCCACTGTGGCTGTGGAGAATTCTATCTGTAATCCATTTGTTCTAGAGGATTGAATAGAATCCTCCTGGAGCTCAGCAGTAACCTCCTGAGTACACACAAGATCAATGCTACAGAGCATGTGGGGTTTGCTCATTTCCCTGGAAGGGAGGCACTGATCTTTTCTATCTTAACCAGGGCTCAACCAAACCCAGAGTCAAAACTGAAACTGACAGTAGGCCAACCTGCCACCCCATGTTCTGACAAGGAAAACAATCTTCCAGAGGATGGTACACTTCAATTTTTTTGCTCTTATCTCTTTCTGTTGAAAATAAGATGGTATATATGAAAACAGAGCAATCCTTCTGTCACGTCATGACGTGTCCCGAAACAAATAGCTACTTGAATGCTGCTTTGTTTAATTACATTAACACACACACACACACCACACACATACACAAAAACACGGCTTTCAAATGATAAACAACACAGCTGCATTTTTGTGCACCAGAAGAAATATTTATCTCAAAAGACTAATCGTGTTCACAATACAAGTGCCAATTGATTTCCACATGAAGAGGAATGAATACTTTACATTTTCCTGAAACAACAACAAAAATATACCCAACCTAAGAGACAACATAGTATCTGTATATATGGATTAGGCATTTATCACTCTGAGGGAAAATTCCATTCTGGAAGAAGGAAAGCAATATTGTAGCCTCTCAAGATGACAGCAGGCAGTTCACCGAACCTGCAGAAGTTTCTCTGCCTTGTCACTAATTCCTAGTGTTTGCCATTAACCACCCTGTTAAACTTGGACATTAGTAGTAAAGAATGACAGATAGCCAAAAATACACACACATGCACAAAGCAGTTTCATATATAATTTTTACTATAATTAGTACATTGGGATCAATTTTAACAAAGTGAGTTAGTCTCTCAACCAATTATTTTTGGTATTTCCCCATAGAGAAGACAGAGTATTCTGATTACTTCAGTTGTTTTTCTGATTCTGCAATCCCCACTGCAAATTATGAAATGAATAACGCAGAGAAGGGGGTATTCATTTACTCGTTCCACTGATGTGGAGAAAAAATAACAATTCTTTTTCTTGCAAGGTATCAATATATGTTAACCTGAAAATTAATTAGTAGAAATTAAAATTATTTTATAGTTAAAGTAAGATGAAATTATGAAATTCTCTTTGTGTTATCTCTTTAAAGCAGTAAGCATCTTGGAATTATAATTTAGTTCTAAGAAACATGTCACATCTACATGTAACCTTTGACCAGACTGAATTTTAATTGTCTTTTCATACAATATTTTTAGTACCAAATTCAGTATAAATAGCACAATTAACCTTGTGAAAATTTGCCATTCTAAATTCCAAATATTGCGGTGAGTCTATTTTTCTTCTTTCAATCAAACTTCTATGTCTAATTTCTTTTATTTATTCATTTTTTGGTGAGGAAGATTTGCCCTGAGCTAACATCTTCCTCAAAAGTTTGTCATTTTATAGTTGTTTAACTCTACAGGATCCTGAAATTTTCTGGTCCTAATATCATCATCTTTGAAAGGAATGGCTCTTGATGTGCAGTTTCTAATGTGCTTCCATATTAAAAAGTCTATAATTTTATAACTTAGGAGCAGGAAGCATAAACATTAGGTAAGAGGAGAGAATTAATATTTTATAAAACATATGAAACTAAAACTTGACAAAAATATACTGGGACACTATCTAGTTGTCTGCCCAATGGAATCATGGAGGTGATCACAGAGTAATAATCATTATTCTGCATATTTATATCACTAATACAAAAAAAGTGTATTTTTAAAGGACCTCAGTCAAGAAAAGATGTGCTGTGATTCTAACGCTTTTCGCATTCCTTGATCTTCTATAAATATTCCACTCTACATTATATATCTTAATTTTTTAATGAAAATTCAATATATCATCCCCAATATATTCTGGCTGATGAGAAGAGGGTAAAGAAAAGTGATTTCATATGAAACAGCAACTCTAATGAGTTTTTAATAATTTCATTTTATTTATGAAATAAGTATGAAATATATTGCCAGTGATTCACTCAACCTTGAAAAATGCATTGACAATTCTGGAGCCAGCCATTGAATATTACAAATTATAAAAATGCACGTAAATTTCAACTGATAAATATTAATCTGTTTATACACCTTAAAATAATATCATATCTAATTACTATTGTTTCTATTTTTTAGATAAAGCTTTTGATCAACTTTTAATTTTTTCACAGGTTTATATTAATTTCTATTTTTGCTCAAGTAGGACATTTAAATAGTGAAAAAAATTAAAAGCATGTAGCTTATAAAGGCAAACTATCACAAACATACACACAGATGCACAAGCACATTTAGGTGTTTTTAACATTAGAAATCTAAAATAAAAAAATGACTAAAAAAATTGGCTGAGGTGTTCTTCAATAGGTGAGTGGATAAACAAACTGTGATGCATCCATACAAGGGGTATTATTCAACTATGAAAAGAAACGGACTATCAAGCCACAAAAAATCCTTAGAAAATCCTTAAATGTGTATTGCTAAGCGAATTAGCCAGCTTGAAAAGGCTGCATGCTGTAGGATTCCAGCTCTACAACATTCTGGAAAAGGCAAATTCCAGACAGTGGGAAGGTCAGCGGTTGTGAGGGTTGGAGCAGAAGGGAGGGAGGGGCGAGTGGGCAGAGCACATGGATTTTAGGGCCAGGAAACTGGTCTGTGTGACACTGTAATGGTGGATACATGTCATTACGCATTTGTCAAAATCCACATAACTGTACAACACATTATTGTGTACAACACAAATAATAAACCCCAATGCAAACTATTTACTTTAATAAGAATGTGTCGATATTGGTTAATCAATTGCAACAAAAGGACCACGCTAACAGAAGATGTGAATAATAGGGGAACCCGGGTGGAGGGGAAGGGGAAGAGGGCATATATGGGAGCTCGCTATACTTTCTGCTCAAAAACTAAGTCCATTAATTAAAAAAATAAGAAAACATTTTGATCACATTTGCTAACTTCCTAATATAGATTTTAAAGCCATTAAGAATTTGAAAAAATAAAATGCAGAAATATTACATCATAAATTATGGGATAGAAAATAAAGGAACATTCCTGACATTATCACAGAGATTCAATGCTAACAAAAACATTATTCCATATCTCTGCATTTATCATCAAATACTATATGATGATTATGTTTCTTCGATTTGTTTTTTCTTTGGTCACTTGGCTGATGACCCAGAAAGTCTACATGCTAAATTTTAGTTTGTGTCTAAATTTGGTATAGTTGCAATCTACATATTCCAGATATGTAAATAAACACTTTTAAAGAAAGGGCTGCTTACCACTGTATTTGATGACACGAATTGTTGAATCTCCTTCACCAAATTTGGTGAGAGGAGTTAGTCGGACTTCGTAAGCCTCTGGTTTAATTAGCTCAGTCAAATTATATGTAATTAATTCTCCCTTTTGAATATTTCCATTTATTTTAATCTCCTGTTCCCACCAACGCTGCTGTCCAGCCTGAAATCAAAAGAATTATGTAATAATGTTCTCAGTATTTTCTTCAGAGGTACTTATCGTGCTCTAGTAGAATGAGAAAAAAAGTTGACATTTTATTACATGAGAAAATAGATTATATTATATGAACACACTTTATTAAAGCTCAAGTTTCTATAATAACCACCAAATTTTGCAGACGTTTCCATGCAGATGTTTGCAGATAATTACCAAATTGTCACAGGATAGTTTGGCTGATTAAACATATTTAATATGCCATCTAACATTAAGAGTCAGAGAGAGAAAACAACAGTCTCTATGGGAGTCTCAATCTGGAGGTTTAGAGAGATATAAGTTTAACGACTTCTTGCTGAACAAATTTATAGTCAACTCATCTTTGACAGAGGAACAAAGATAATGCAATGGCGCAAAGACAGTCTTTTCAGCAAATTGTGCTGGAGCAAATTGTGCCGGAACACCGGGCATCCACATGTGAAATACTGAATCTAGGTACAGACTTTACACCCTTCACAACATTCAACTCAAAATGAATCACAGACCTAAATGTAAAATGCAAAATTACAAAACTCCTAGAAGATAACGTAGGAGAAAATCTAGATGACCTTGATTTTGTCAATGACTTTTTAGATACAATACCAAAAGCACAATCCATGAAAGAAATAATTGTTAGGCTGGACTTCTTTAAATTAAAAATCTCTACTCTACAAAAGACATTATCAAGAGAATGAAAGACAAGCCACAGATTAGGAGCAAATATTTGCAAAAGATACATCTGATAAAGGATTATTATCCAAAATATACAAAGATCTCTTAAAACTCAACAATAAGAAAACAAGGAATCCAATTTAAAAACGGGCTACAGATCTTAACAGAAAGAATGCTCCACATCATGTCATGAGAGAAATGCAAATTAAAACAACAATGAGATATCACTACACACCTATTAAAATGGTCAAAATCCAGAATACTAACAACACAAATGCTAACAAGGATGTGGAGCAACAGACACGCTCATTCATTACTGTTGACAGTGCAAAATGGTCCAGCCACTCTGAAAGATAGTTTGGTGGTGTTTTACAAAAGCAAACATACTCTTACCATATGACTCCAGCAATTCTGCTCCTACTATTTACCCATAAGAGCTGAAAACTTATGTCCACACAAAAATCTGCACATGAATGTTTATAGGAGTTTTATTCATAATTGCTAAAACTTAGAAGCAACCAAAATGTCCTTCAGTAGGTGAATGAATAAATAAACTGTGCTACAACCAGACAACTGAATCCTACTCAGTGCTAAAAAAAATGAGCTATCAAGCCATGAAAACACATGGAGGAGCCTTAAATGCACATTACTAAGTGAAAGAAGTCAATCTGAAAAGGCTACATACTGTGTGATTCCAACTATATGACATTCTGGAAAAGAAAAACTATGGGACAATAAAGAGATCAGTGGCTTCCGGGGGTTAGGGAGAAGGGAGAGATGAAGAGGTGGAGCACAGAGGATTTTTAGGGCAGTGAAACTGCTCTGTATGATGATATAATGGTGGATACATGTAACTAAAAGTTTGCCCAATCCGTAGAATATACAACATCAAGAGAGAACCCCAATGTAAACAGTGGACTTTGGCTGATAACGATGTGCCCGTGTAGGTTCATTGTAACAAATGTACCTCCCTGGTGGGGGATGTTCATATTAAGGGAGGCTGCTCAGGTGTGGGGGCAGGGGATATATGGGAAATTACTGTACCTTCTGCTCAATATTGCCATGAACCTAAAACTACTCTAAAAGAGTAAAGTCTTTGAAAAAAAAATCTGTTGTGCCATCTTGATAATTTCCTGTTCTTTGCATGCATTTTCAGTTTTCTTTTATTCATACATGTATTGCTAAGCATAGTTGCCTTATAATATGTATCGAACACGTTTTATATCTGAAGTCTATACGTCCTTGTTAGTGGTGCTTTTCTCCTCTTCTCACAAAGAACTGGGGGTTCTTTGTGTCTTTGAGACACGCTCCTTTAGAGATGTACCTTTGTTTCTGACATGCTCCTAAGAGCATAGACAGTAAAATTCACTTTGACTGTGAAATCCTTTGGTGTCACAAATTAAAGTGGAGATGATCTCTTGCTTTGGGCAGGCCTTCGGTTTTCTTTCCGGTTTGCCTCACCAACGCCATGCTGTAAGAATCAAAGTGCAACTTTGTCTGGGCTGGTGAATAGCTGAAGGCAAAAGCAATTTGGGTGGAATATTCCATTTTTTTGAGCTTCCATTTTCCCTTATATGTGTATATATATATTTATATATTAATATATATAAAAATATATATATATTTTGGTGAGGAAGATTCATCCTGAGCTAACATCTGTGCCAGTCTTCCTCTACTTTGAATGTAGGATGACTCCACAGCATGGCTGATGATTGGAGTAGGTCCATGCCGGGGATCCAAACCTGCAAACCTGAGCCACTGAAGTGGAGCACACAGAAATGTAACCACTTGGTCACGGGGCGGGCCCCCTAATCCCTTATGTTTTTACAGAGTAATTTTACATATATACACACACCCATATACAGACACACAGCAAATGTGTAAATGTGCATATATATATTTTTTCATATATTTATGTATTTGCTTTTTGTCTGAAGGTGTATTAGTTCCACTTATGTAGCCTAACCTGCTAGATTTCTGGAAATGAAAATCTCAAATATGTGCCATTAGCACAGGATTAGAAAAATGACAAATAAAATAAAGGAGTGGAACAGAAAGCCCATGTATATATTTGTGGGGATGTTTATATAGAAGACAGAAAATAATATACCATTTAATTAGTTATGTATATGGAGAAAACATGAATTTGATTCCTACTTCACATCTTATACAGAAAAGGCAGTCTCAGGATGATCAAATACCTATATTTAAAAGGCAAAAGTTAAAAACCATTTAGTAAAAATCAGAACAATGTCACCATGACCTCAAGTAAGACATTGCTTGCTTATACAAAATAGAAAAATACAATTAGTAAGGAAAAAGATTGATAAATTAGCCAATCTTAAATTTGAAATTTGAAATTTAAAACTTTGGTATAAAAATTTCTTATCAGTGCTCCCCATTAAACAGGGAAAATAAAGGTAGATGTTTGAAGAAGATATTTAGAACATGTAGTTAACTAGACTATATTAAGACTCCTGTAAGTAAATAAGAAAAAGTATTCAGTAGCAAAATGAGCCTAATAAGAATAGATATTTCATAGAAGGGGAAACCCAAATAACTGATTAGAGAAAAGGCTCAGTTTCACCACGAGTCAAGGAAATGGAAATTAAAACCATAGTACTATTTCCCACCATGAGATAAAGAAAAAAATTATAAAAATAACAATATTAGGTTTTGATGTAGATATGAAACAGTGAGAATATTTACACACGTCAAGAACCGGAAAGGGCAGGAGGAGGGGGTGGATGGGTAAGATTTTACTCACAAGCTAAGAAGTCAGCTTGCAACAGTATCACGGATGCTAGCCGACTCAGATTACAGGGTCACGACACAGCAGACACCATAAATGTCACATTCACATTGGTTCCCCTTGTCTCCCTAGTCCCACAGGGGTGACCCAGAACTTCCCACGTGGATTTTGCACATGCCTTTGATTTATATCACATCTGAGGGACGCTGAGGATAAGAAACCTTCGTATTTAATAACTGACAGCAACCAAACTTACTCAACCACTACCCAAGAGGGAGACATTACGTTTGTTATGTTGGACATTGAGCAGTCCTTCTGTCTACTCCAGAGGGAGACACTCTCTCTATTCTAAGAATGTTTGCTATGCAAATGACCTTGAAGAGATAGGCTAGAATAAAAAGACAGTTAGTGCCTCTGCACACATGATATGCAAAAAAGCAAGAGATCCACGGAAAACTGTCTTCTAAAAATATAGTCTTGAGGAGGCTGTAAATCCATATAAGCATGGAGAGCAGTTTGACAACAATACTGCAATGAGAACAGATAAACTCTTGTACACAAGGAAAAATATTCATGGCATAGAAAACACAGAAAATGATCTAAACATCAATAAGCGATAGAATGATCAAATGATAGTCTTCATAAAATCTAAGACAAAATCGAGCATGAGAAATAAACCAAAGCTACAGACATCATGGGTGAATGTCATAAAATTAATATTGAGCTAAACTTAATTTTCAAGCAGACATATTAGAAAATTTAAGTTCAAAGCATACGTTTTGAAGAGCGATACATAGATATGTATCAGAGTAAAAGAAATGCCGAAAATAGTAACTACTAAGTTCAAGATACTGGTCACGTGGGGTGAGGGGGGGCCTCAAGAGAAGATGAACTGTGAGGGGGCACAAAGGACTTCACTCCATTTGGTGAGTTTTGTTTCCTTAGATTGAGAGTAGAGAGACAAATCAGGATGACAGGACTCTTGTGTCAGCCTGAAATATTTCAGAGAGACTTGCAGAATAAGAGTTAGAGACAGGCCATTGTGAATTTTCTTAAACTCTTTCTCCCTTGAATTCCAGACAGTGCTCCCTTGTGTTGCTGGCTGCATCCACGCCTGCAGCTGTGCCTTCTTCTCATTCTCTTGCTCAGCGCTTTTTCTTTTCCTGAGTTCTAAATGTTGATTGGTCTCCAGGGTTTTTTATTTGGCATTTGTGTGTGTGTGTGTGTGTTTGGTGAGGAAGATTAGCCCTGCGCTAACGTGTGTGACAATCTTCCTCCACTTTGTATGTGGGATGCCTCCACAGCATGGCTGGTAAATGGGAGTAGGTCTGTGCCTGGGATCCACACCAGTGAACCCGGGGCTGCCAAAGCAGAGCACATGGAACTTTAATCACTCAGCCCCAGAGCCAGCCCATTTGGTATTTCTGATACCCTGTATTAGTGGCTCTCACAGTTCCGCATGCATGCGAGTCCCTGGACAATCTTGGTAAACGCCAAAATTCCAAGTCGTAATCATCAGGAATTCTGCTTCAATGAAGTCTAGAGA